GTCCCACACCTGTTTACATTATTGCTTTTACAACCAACTTGGCTAGTGGTAGCAAGGCTAAATGTTCTCAGACAAGCTGGAACAAGCCTTGTGCTTTGGTCAACGCTGCAGATCAAGGGGTTAGATCAGCATTACATAACCCTTAAGATCAATAAGCAACAGGTATTTTAGGACACACCCAATTAAACACATGAGAAAGAAAAAAAAAGTCAACCTACGAGACAACAATTGATACCAAGGGACCATCCTGAGCAATCTGCACCTCTCCAGTATCCCATTGGGTCTGATACTATGAGCAAGGCACGTGGTAAAGAACGAGAAGTCAGAGACGCTAGCAGCAATTCCAGAGCGGAGACATCACGCTAAGGTCTCGCGGATGTGTATCATCCTGTTATTTTAGTACTTGGGCCTTACTGATGCAGAACAGGTCCTGTATTTACAAAAGAAGGCATACCCATGGAGAGCTGCATTCTGGTAAGACACCAGAGAGGCCTCATCCAAACACAAGACATACCAGATGCGTGTTTGACATGACTTCTCCACATCCACCCCATCCCTCAAAAAAGTCCTAAAAAACCCAAAACTTGTCCACCTTGGATGTGGAAGCTTGATTGCTAGAAGAGACATCAAGGTAGCAGATTGCACCCATCCTTGTCCAACTTCACCTATGGCAAGTTCTGCATTTAAGGAAGTCAACTTCCCCTGCAAGGAGGCAAGAACGGTTAGTGGAGATCTTAGTTACAAGACCCTCCGCTTTGCTTCCCAGTTCTGCTCTGGGGTAGATAGGGGGGCGGGAAAAGTTAGAGCTGCACGTATCCTCTTTAAATCATGCCTCAAAGAGCATCATCCATACTTCCATCCTGTGGGAGGTCACTGGCTCTGGTCCTTCATCCTCCTACTGGGACAGAAGAACAGCTCACCAATGGTTTTACAGATGCCATAGGCTTCTCTAAGAGCGCTAGTGTTGCTATGCTGTACCGGGACAGCCCTCTAGTGGAAACATCGCATGGGATAGCAGGACTCCCAAATATTAACATGGCCTTCCTAAACATCCAGTGATCTCACATACACAGCTTTGAGACCCGCGTGTTGATACCAGGGGATTTGCTAGCACAGCTGTACAGGCGAGCGGGGCGAGGTTCTTTTCCATCTCCCAACCAGCTCTTCAGTGCAAGCCTGCCCCACTTGCGCCTTTCGCATTTGGTAAGACACTGCAAAGAATGGAGCTGCCATCAGGACCTGGTGCTGGGCAGGCACCTTAATAAAAAAACAAAACAAAAACACCCCAACAGCTGCCCACTGTGAGCAAGAGACTTGCCTAGGATCAGCCCCATCACCCTGTGCTGAGATCCAGAGCATGGGTACAAGAAGCTGGCAGTATGAGGACAGCTGCTGCATTAATCCTGTACATGCCCATTGCAATGGGAGAAATCAAGCTGGGTGGTAAGCTCTTGGAGATGCATACTCCAACTTCCCCTGGACTGGTTGGCTTACAAACACTAACCTGGTCAGAGGCAATACCCAAACCTCCACTAGTGGTCATGAAGTTGCTGCATTGGGCACAGAGCCTCATTAGCTTGAGCTGGGTGTAGGAGAAACTCAAAATGCAGGAGACATTTCAACAGGAATCAAGGACCCCACAAGAGATTCAGTACACAGCAGAACTGTGGAGCCAGCCTGGCACGTGGTTTGCCAACCAGCGTTACCCACAGCGGAGTCAGAACAGGCTCCACGCTGGCTGCACAGAAAGAAAAGCCCTTGGATATCTTTGGCAATGGAAAGAGTCCTCTCAGTTCCTGACATACGGCAATATTACTGCATATGGGTCTGGGCAGAGCTGTTGGGTTCATTCACTAAGCCAGACAGTCTGAAAAAGGTCTCCCTCATGGTGGAATAGCATCTGTTGGTAAGCTCAGTGACATCTTCTGGGGTCAGACCCTTGGTTTCAATGGGCTCGAGAACCTCGACCTGGATTTTACCTGGGAATAAGAGGAAAGGACCGTCAGTTTTGGGGCACGTGGAAAGACATCCTCCAGGGCATTGGCTATTCCCACCTCCGGCACCCCTTGGCAGAGTGCAGTAATGCTTCCACATGCCAGCTACGAGCATCCTTTGAAGATGCAAGGCTGTATCACAGAGGGCAGCTCGCTCCAGTTTCTGTAGCAAGAGAGTGCATGAGGAGCACTGGGTTTCACAAGGCACCCACCACCCTCAAGCTACATGCTGTGGGCTAGCTCAAGGTTACTTGCTATTTCTTCCTGTTCCCAACAAGCCATGGGCCCAATTTATAGACATCATACACATGATAAATGCTTACAGAGGATCATAGCAGCACAGGACACTCCTGCAGACTGAGGGGCAGATATTAGCCAGAAGAAATACCCCTGTTGAACTTGGGCAGGACATTTTGTCGTTCTCAAAATGACTATGAGACACTCGAGGCAGCAGCTAATGGGTAATCCTGAGCTCTGAGGTTTTTGCTCCATGTAGGGCATTGCCTTAGCATCAGCTGTGATGGTTTTTATGCTAGGAAACGTCCGACTTCTTGACAGGGTGGAAGGCGTGAGCAGATAAAGCCGAAGCAGACTCAACTAGTAACTTGCACATCTTTGTTTCCACTTCCCACAGTGGTACACTGTCCTGCACAGCAACTGGCAAACCCTGCACTCCTGGTCCCCAACCCTCATTCTGTTGTGGCTTTTGGCACAACATTGCTTCTACCTCACGGTTGGAGGCCAGGATGCAGGACACTAGTTTGCCTTGGACAATATGGACCTCAAACTCCACCCTTCCCTGCTGTTTTTGCACTTTCCTAATGAGGTTTCTCTCAATATCCTAAGCTAGGACCTAGCTCAGAAGTGCCCAGAAAGACAGCCCCTCTAGAGGCTTTCTGGCATGCACAACAGATCTAGGAGAGAGAGGAGAAGCTAATACCAGCCAGACTGGGTTCCTGCTGCAAATCCATCACAAACAAGCCACACATGCTCTAGTCTCCCGAGTGGCCCAAAGATGCTAGTCCCCCCCCCTCGCATACCAGGCTTGTCCCCAAGCCGCATACAAGGGATAAGAGAGGAGGTGTCTGCCCCCAGCTACAAGGGCCCTCAGGAGGTCCTGAGAAGAGAGCTAGCTCCTTTGAAACCAATAACTCCAGCCTCACTTAGCACTCTGTTCATCTGGCAGAACAAGTCCTTCAAGCGCTTTATTTTGCAGGCTCAAGGGCATGCCTCTGCCCTTGCAGGAGCTTCTTGGCTGACCAAAGAGTGACTTGCAATCTGCGCATCAAGGAAGCAGGTGGCAACACAAGTAGTGTCTGATAATTACAGCTCCTGTTGGGCTTTCTGGTGTGGTCTGGAGTTCTGTTCCCCCTTCTCATCTTTTACAGCCAGTAGTGGGGCCGGGCAACCAAGTGACCAAGAGCAAGCCTCAGCCCTGAACTCCCTGCTCCTTTGCAGAGGCTTTGACCGCTCCAGGCATCTCCCTTGGGCCCCAGTGTCTCTACACTCTCCCAGAAAAAAATCCACCACTGTGACCAAGCTTGATGGTCCCTGGCTGTCAGAGACATCCATATGCAAAGAAGTGCCTCTGCCTGGCATGGTGCAGCCCAAGAGCCCGGTACGTGGACCCTGGGGTCTCTAGTATTGAGCCTTATTTCCTGATAAGCAGAGTAACACTTGGGCTAGAGGAAGAGACATCCATATGCAAAGAAGTGCCTCTGCCTGGCATGGTGCAGCCCAAGAGCCCGGTACGTGGACCCTGGGGTCTCTAGTATTGAGCCTTATTTCCTGATAAGCAGAGTAACACTTGGGCTAGAGGAAGAGACAGCTGCAGTTTGAATGAGGGAGACTGGCAGCCAGATACAGCCCTTGGTTAAGCAGGGGCCTCTTGAAATAGCCAAACCCCACCACAGGTGCAGCAAAGCGTGCACGTGCCAGCTATCACCATCACTTTAAGTTGGTTTAGAAAGACACTAGCAGGAGGGTCATGTTGGAAGGACACCCCTTGAGATGAAACGCAAGTCCACGTCCTTCTGTGTTCAGCTCAACTTGTCTTCTGCCACAGGATGAGAAACTTAGCACACCCAGGAGGACTTACCTGGGTGTAGCTAGGAAGTCAACCCCCTCCAACCAGTTCAAGTGCATTCAGGAGGTGGGGAAGAGACTCCGGCAGCACCATACCTGATGTGAACAGGTTCTTCTTCCGGTCATAGAACGAGGAGAAGGAGGAGTACACCACGGGAATGACCGGGACCTGGGGATGAAGGGACCACAGAAGAGATTGCAGCAACATCCTAAAGCACCAGACATCAGGGCCCAAGTGCATCAGGTCACCTATAGATGCATACATTGGGGAGTCCTAATGTGGGAAGTTTTACCTTCATCTCTGATGGGTGAACTGGAGCAGCAAGGTAAAAGCATCTTGCCTGAAGTCAACAAAAGGAACTGACCCAGTCTCAAGCCAGCAGCTGGACCAGAGCTAGTCTTTTCCCCTATCCGAGGAAGTCTGAACCTCCAGTCTGCCTCAGACATACTTATTCCTCAACTTCCTGGTCCTGATAAGCAGCCCTGACGTGCATTACCACTGCCTGCAAGCATACGCAAGGGGCCAGCCCAGCCGCTGCTTAGACCCTTATGACCAGGAATCACTGTTTGCACTCATCTCCCCTTGACAGAGATGGAAGAGAGGTGGCTATATTTACCTCTGACACAACATGGAAGAGATCTATTGGTCACTGCCTTGCTGGGAACGTGAGTAAAGCTGGCCACTGCTTAAGCTGTTCCTCTTATCCCTGCCCCTGGAATTCCATCTACTGGGACCAGTTATGGCCCCCTGACTGGTCAGCGGGTATTCGGTCTCCATCAGCTCATTAGAGGATGGGCTACATGCTGCACTTGGTCTATTCAGGTGTGCATACACAGGTCTCCTTGCTGCAGGCTACCAGCCACTTCCTGTCCTTAAGGGAAGAGGCCATTCAAAAGCAGACACTGTTCCTGATATTTAGCCACCCCGAGATGACGCTCAGTTCAAGTGCTCACTCCCGACGTATCCCGTTAGACAATGCCATCTAGAGGCAACATGCAGACCTCCCTCCCTGATAGGTTTGGGGAGGCCACTGCGTAACAGGCTATTGTTGCCTCCCACATCCCTGCAACTAGTGACCACTGGGTCACTAGTCAGGGATTCACAGGGGTAGAGAGGCAGCTGTGTAATTCTTGTAGCTCACCGCATGCCCACCCAAGTGCCCCAAATCCATTTCTGTGAAAGCTTTGGGCACCCCCAGTTTTGGAGGCCCCATTGCCAGAGACTGATCACAGCCTCTCGGGAGCTCAGGCAAGAGATACTACCGCAGTCCAGCAGCGTGGGCACAGAAGCTTTCACAGAAAACAGAATCACCAAGATGCAGCACACCTCCAGCATGACAAAGCAGCTCTTTGCCGATAGTATTTGGTCACAAGAACCTCACTTTGGACAGCCAGGCCTGCTTGGCGTTGTAGTCGGAGGGAGAAGCTGGCCATCATTACCTGTGCCTGTATGGCAAGATGAAAGGCTCCCTTCTTGAAAGGCAACAGGTCACCGTTCCCATTCCTTGTGCCCTCCGGGTAGATCCATACCATCACCTGTATGAAGATAGGCCATCAGTTCCATGTGCTAAGTACATCACACATTGCTGTATCAATAACCCTAGAGCATCTCAAAAACTGTAGGTCTGGACAGACAACACATACAGCTATACAGCAGTAGAAGACACTGGACACAAGCTCCTCAGCTGGAGTACTTTTACCCCAAGTCACCACTGAAAGGATCAGGGATGAAATGCCACTACCTAAGTTACCCTAGTATGTTTAATCTGTCTTTGCCCTTTCCAAGTTAGTTGGCTGCTGAACATGAACACACCATTAATTGCTCACCTCAACAACTGGCTAAGCACAACAGTAAGTGCCTACTGTGCACAGCTACGTGTCTGTCCATTCGTAGTACCTGCTTTATAGACACTGCTAACCATAACTGATGTAAAGTGCACCAGGCTAGGTGCTCACCTGTCCACTCATGACATCAGAGATCCAATTAGATGCCTTTATTTCTTGGAACTGGATTTTCCTATGGTATTCAAATTACCTACGTGCTGATAATAAAAGGACCAAGTTCACACTACCCAAGAGCTAGATAACCAACCACAGTTGTCCCCATCTCGTCTCCCCCTCCCTCATGCTTCATGTTGGACTTCCCCCCTGCACTGCTCTCTCGAGCGCACAACTTTTGATCTCTTCTGCATCTGGCAAGCTCAGAGGTTTTGGGGGAAGAGGAGCTGGCAGACATGCCTAGTTACTTGTGCTGCACTCACGTTCTCAGACAGCATGGTCTTGGCAACATCCGCCATCACCACCTTGGCATTGCTCGTGCTCTTCCTGTTGATGAAGATGACGCCACCCAGGTACATGACTAGTCCCACGCTGCCCGTGTACAAAAGCTCCTTCTTGGCAATCTGAACACAGCGATCTGGAAGGATTTCCATCAAGCCTAGCCCCAGGGGCAAAGAAACTAACAATCAGCCCACGAGAGGCAGATCAACACCTCCCCCCCCAGCCAGACTGGTTTGCACAAGTCAGATAATCCTTCCTGGCTTTGATGGAAGAGTCTGCTGCCTCTTCTTCTGCTCAGGCTTTCACAGAGGCTGCACTGAGGATGAAATGGTAACAGGCCAGCCCCACTGCATTTCTTTCTAGTTACGCAAAGTTTTGATGCCACTGCAATCACTAGGGCAGGACTTAGTTATGAAACAAGTCCAAGGGTTTCAGCGGAAAAATCCAAAGTAGACCAGGACAGCAGTCAGGTGCCTTGCACAAAGACAGATGTCCTTACTACAGCTAGAGATGGGGGAACCTTGTCCCCTGAACAGGGACAGCAGCCTAGAGAGGTTAACACTGCACACATGCAGACACGTGTAGCAGAGGAGACACGGGCTTGACTCCTAACTCTGCTATCGCTTCTTGTGGGACAACTCCCTTTGCCCATAAGCATCAGCTCTCACAGCTCAAGAGGACTGAACAGTGCCTCTGAGTTACCCATTCCTTCCTCGACTCTGGTGTCAGCCTGCAGAGCTACGCCAACTGGCTGTGCTAGCACGCAAGCATGCCCACCTGCTCCCTCATTTTAAAGTGGCGATTAGCTTTTCCAGTAGTCTGATTTCTTTAAGACTTTCAAAAGAGACTGTGGTAACCCAGTGGGACACCTGCTTGGGCTGGACCCAGGTGTGCATGGCACGGGCAGTGGTATAGCTACAAGGCAGTGCAATGGATTCATTACTGCATCCCTTTGCTACCCACCCCTAGGGAAGGTGCGTACATGGGCTCCAATACCCGCTTCAGGTACTTTGCTATCCCGCTCGACTTCTTCCAGCACTTGCCTTTCAAGCAAAACCGCTGCCTCTGACCCATCTTGACCTGCTTACCCATCATGTCCAGGATGCTTTGGTGGTTTGACACGATGACACAGGGGCTGCCCACCTTGAAGTTCTCCAGCCCTTTCACTTCAAACCTCAGGCCATAAAGGTATTTGAAGGTCTTGACAACATTTTTGATGATACTGCATTGGAGAGGAGAGTGTGGTCAGACCCCAGCAGGCAGCGAGGAACCAAGGTGTGAATAGAGAGGGCAAGCATCTGCTATGAGCCTATGGACCCAATACCACTCTCAACACCCCCCAAATAGTTTAGTTATGTCCTTTCTGGACGCAAATCTGCATTGCATACTGCCCTGCTTGCCTTGCTATGTAATGGACCCTCTCTTGTCCCAGTCTATCAGCTGCTATTTGCTTCAGCATGCCCCCAAGAGGCTGCCTCTGTATTGGCTCATAAGTAAGGGCCAATTCTGGTTTCTCACCCTAATGGGAATTACAGCAACCAGGGACAAGGCCCCTCGATGCAGAGAGGGAGGGACACAGATAAGTTGCACGCATATGTTTGCATGATTTCACTGGTAATGTAGCCACAGGGCAGAGACCTTTCCCCTCCCTTTGATTTTAAAACCTTTACAGCCTGTAAAACAGCAGAGACCAAACAAGAGACGGTCTGCTGAGGACAGTAATCAGTCGCACACAATCTCCTGGATCTCCTCCCCTGACCCTCTTGCCGGCTCATGCTGGGAACGCCCCTGTCCTCAGGGGCGAAGATAAGTCGAGTGATCAAGATGCTACAGAACCAGTTTGGCCTCCACTTCCACCTGCCTCCTCCACCAGGCAAGACAGGGAGCCGGACCTCAGGGAGCATCCTGGAGCCACTGGCTTGCAGAGGTGCTCCTTCAAAAGGCAGCTTCGTGGGAAGGGCAGGAGCAGCCACAGTTTGAAGTAGAGGGCCTTTGCGCCCAAGGAAGCAAATCCCCACTCTTGCACACCGGTCTTTGAGGGAAAAGATTTGCCTGCACAGAACAGGACGGGCTCCTGCAGGGTCAGTCAGTGCAGACCCCCGTTGCAAGGCCAGGCTGCTTTGCACAGAAGCAGGGCCAGGCTCAATTCCACTCATCCGGCAAGAAAGAAATTTTTTTTAAAGAAGAAGTTAAACTTAGCCCAGCTGGAGGTTGGCCAGGTTGTTCCCTCTCACACCCAGGGGGATCCCTATTAGCTGCCAGCTCTAGAGGGCAGAGCCACCTGCTTGGGACTGCTCAGCACCTGCTGAGCGCAGGAGCAGAGCTCTGCCCAGCACAACTCTGAATCGAGGCAGCAGGTTTGAGCTGCAGTAACCTTTGCATCAGCGAGGCAGGGGGGACCGGGTGGGTTAGAATGAGTCAGGCCATTAGTCACGGAAAATACCGTGCATGGCAGAGCTCTGGTCTCCTGTATCTTGCCAAAAAGCCTCTCCCCAGCAGCAGCATGGGCCTCTCCCGAGCTGTCGGAGGGAGCTGCTCTTGCCGTCTCCACAGCTAAGCTGCACATAAAAGAGCTCTTCCAGAGTTGTTCCAGACAGAGATGCCAGCTAAGCCGAGCTGCTAAAACAAGGCCGGGCAGCGAGCCGAGAAGGCAGGCAGCAAGCTAGAAAGCAAACGCCATGTCCGGCCACAGCCACAGGGGGAAGCGGGAACCAGCGTGGAGCAGACTGGTCTGCTTGGAGGACACAGCCTGCAAACCTGCAGTGGCTACGCTCCAGAGGACCCAAGCGCAGCTCTCCCAGGGAGGCATGTTCTTCTTTCACACAGCTGCCACGCTGGGGTACGGGACAGGTGGGCCAGGCTTCCCAGCCCAGCAAAGGGTGCAGAGCCCCTGGGGTCAGCATGCATCGGCCCTTTCACACAGGAGGGGCCTGCTGCTGCTGCTGCCTGCCAGGGGCTGCAACTAGTACAGTGTTTGCACAAATAGAGAACCCAAGTCTGATGCATGCTTTGTTAGTGCAAAGGGCAGCTCCCACCCCCGGTTCCTCATCGTTCGGCTTGTGGGCACCATGTCCAGCCTGGCCCAGACCCAGGAGCTAGAGAGGCAGGGAAGCTTCCCTGCTCACCGCACTCCTGAAGGGGACGAGGATGCCATGGCAGCTCCAGACCTCAAATTTTCCACTGCCACCTCATCTCAGTGCATGCTAGGGAAGAAATCAAGGCTTTTGCCCTGAGCACCCCAGCTTGGGTAGCTATGCTCTTGGCTCTAGGGTGCTTTGCCCTGAACAGCTGCCAAAAAACAGAGATTGCAAGCACGTTTAGGCACTCCCCATCCAAAGAGAAAGGGGAGGCAGCACAGCCACGCTGCAGGCTAGGCCTCCGTTGGGGTGCAGTCACCAGCTGACCTCGGATGGCATCCTGTTCTGACTCCAACCAGGCCAGCAATCCACCCTGCCCAAAATCATTTACCAACACACCCTGACACTTGCCAGTGGAAAGGGCTCCCCACACCCACCCGAGACCAACCGGGTGCTCTTCGTGCCACCACGATGCTGGGAGCCAGCCCAGCTGCTCGGGTGCTATGAACCTTCACCCAGGATCTGTGCATCTGGAGAGAAAGAAAACGGAGGAGAGCCTCGTTAAAAGCCAGATCTGATTTTCAAATTTGTTTTTGATCCAAACAGACGCCAGTATCCATGACCAGCTGAGCTGCGTGGGACGCAGGAAGCAGCCTGTGTCCCCACCCATGGAAAAAGCATGGGCCAGTTCCACATCCCCTGGTTCAGGTCTGCCACAGGACAGGTCCGGGGGAGGCAGCACAGAGCCCAAGGATGCCTTTGCCTCAGTTTCCGGGCCACTCTCTGCTAGTCCAAAGCACCCTCCCCACCCAGATTTGGGGCAAAGTTTGGAGCTTTCCAGACAAGACCAGGGTATGACTAAGTGAGATCTGAACACTTCGAACACGGTGCTCATTTTGGCCAAAGCAGCCGAGAGGAAGCATCTGAGCACAGAGCGAGTCTTCCTAGATCCAAGCAATAAGTTTGGAGAGGACAGCTTTCCCTCCCAGACCATTACCACAATGCCTAGGTTGACTTAAGGCAAGTCTAGAGAGCCCTGAGACAGCAGACAAGTGATTTGAAGGAGACAACCCGAGCCCGTCTTGTCATCAGAGTGCCAGGAGCAGGCTGGTGCTATCATGGATTTGATACTCAAGCTGCAGGACACAAGTACCACTCCACTGTGCCAGTTCAAGCTACAATTCAGCCCTCTGGCCTATTCCCCACGGTTTCTTTGCAAAGGTCAGAGGATGTGCCTTGCTGTGTGCCAGCTGGCTGCCATCAGGCCTGGTATCTCCATGGCAGGAGGCCGAGACGAGATGCCTTCCAACCTGCTGCTAACGACAAGGACTCGGGGGTGATCAGGGTGGTGCAGACCTGGTGTGCCCGCAATGGCTCTCGTAGCCAGGAATCTGCAGCAGATGTTCAAAGCAAGATAGTCTATTCCTGGGCATGGCCCTGCCAACGTGCTACGAGGTGGCAGGAACCAGCGTGCCCTACGCCAGCGAGCAACCACTGACCCTTGTCCTGTCCCTCTCTCCACACCTGCCTCCCAGGCTCTGCCAAGCGGAGGAGAGGTCACTGCTCCAGTGACGCTTGCTCACAGGGCGTCACTGGGAGCAGTGTATTTCTCAAGGGCAAGAAACATGGCTTTCAGACTGGCATTGCACAACCTCGAGTCGTAGCAGCTGGAGACCCGGGTGTAAAACGAGACGCTAGGCTGCAGGAAAGGGGAGGGGACATTATGGCTGGGCTTTTCCCTGCCCTTGGCGGGGAGCATTCGGCTCATGCTACTGTTGGCAGAGACCAGACAGTCCTGCATTACCCGGCCCCCCCACACATACGCTCGACAGGGCTCCCAGCTTGCACAGACCACTCCCGCTGGCCGCAGGATAAAAGCCATTTTCACGTTCCTGGGCTGCAACTTCCACGGGGAGGGGCAAAAACCTTGCGGCTCTGCACCACCCTGCCCATAATTACAGGGGGAAGAGACTGGGATCAAAGGCTTATTATAGCACACTCAGTTGCCCTGTGAACGAAACTGTTTCAACAGCTGAGAGCCCATGGCTTTGCTCAAGGACAAGGGCGCATAGCTGGAGTCAGCGAGGCTGAAGTACGGACCAGGGAAGAGCACAAAACAGAAAGCAGGAGTTGGCAGGAGTGCAGAAGGAAGGGCTGGCTGTCTGGCCCAGTGACGCTCAAGCAGGGTGCCACGAGAGCCTTTGAAGGGTGCCCCAGGAAGCGAGAGGCTACACGCAGCTAAGGGCAGGCGCAGGCTCCTGGCGCCAGGAGAAAAGCAAATAAGGGTGGGTTCAAGCACTCCCTTCCTGGCTCCTGCCCAGCCCCTCTGCAATACATGAATGAGCTTTTAAGATGGAATTTAAAAAGGTTGAAAAGACACAGATCTAGTCAAAAAAAGCGCCAAACTTTGGAGCTGGCAATGGCTCTCTCAGGGAAACCTGTGGCATACTCTTAACTAGCTTCTTACTTGCGCGTGACCTGAGGAAGCGAACTCTAGCTACAAGAGTCTATTCCAACAGCTGCATCTTTCTCTCAGCCTCTGCCTTGGCCTTAGTCCTCTGACCCCCTTGCTGCAGCTCGGGGCCCTATGCAACAGCAGCAGTGCTTGATGGACCCGGCTGGCAGCTTTGTGGGTGCCCACTGGGTGATGACAAGCAGCCAAGTTGTTGCAGCAACAGGTCTGAGGAGTTGCTCCCAGAGCTGCTACCATCCATCCGTCCGTCCACAGCAGCAGAGCTGTGGTGCTTAGACTGGGGTGTACGGTTGCAGAAAGGACATAAGGAAAGACTTCTTTACCATCCGAGTTTCCAGAGCCTGGAATAGACTCCCCCCAGAAGCGCTGCAAGCACCTACTCTGGATACGTTCAAGAAACGCCTGGTTGCTCACCTTGCTGGGGTGATCTGACCCCAGATGACTTCCTGCCCTTTGGGCAGGGGGCTGGACCTTATGATCATGCGAGGTCCCTTCCAGCCCTAATGTCTATGAGAGCTTCCAAAACTAGAAATAGTTGGTACCTAAAATGCCAGCTGAACGGCTGCCAAAGTTAATGGCACTCACCATCTTCCTGCTACCATGCTATTTCCAGTCCCAGCTTTTTTGCTTATGCTTTTCACATCAGAGACCTGGTTTACTGAAGTGCAAGGCCTGCAATG